TACACATACAGAACATGTCAGGTTCTCACAGAGTTAATACAGAACATTTCAGAATTTCACAGGCAGTACACATACAGAACATGTCAGGTTCTCACAGAGTTAATACAGAACATTTCAGAATTTCACAGGCAGTACACATACAGAACATGTCAGGTTCTCACAGAGTTAATACAGAACATTTCAGAATTTCACAGGCAGTACACATAAATAACATTTCAGGTTCTCACAGAGTTTATACAGATCATTTCAGGATCTCACAGACAGTAGACATATAGAGCATTTCAGGTTCTCACAGTCAATGAACATACAGCTGAGATGCAGCCCTTCAGGTTGTCACAGTAGTTAAACAGGCAGGAAAGACAGAAATCGTGTGCTTGTCACAGTTGGTAAATATCCATGTAGGACAGAGCTGCTCAACCCAGGTCCCGAAATGGAAATATGTCAGAAAAGTTAGAACTGGATGTGTATCGTAATGAAGTCTCTGGTGCTTTGGTGACACTCTGTGTTATATGTTTAGCCGAAGGACCTATGTGTGCCTATGTGTGCCTATGTGTGCCTATGTGTGCCTATGTGTGCCTATGTGTGCCTATGTGTGCCTATGTGTGCCTATGTGTGAGATGCCCAGGGAAAGATGCAAATTACTCACACTAAGAGGTATTGGATTGGGGAGATAGCCCCTCACAATTTGTAATCATGCCTGATAGCCATCATGTGGACACATTCCAGTGGTGTTAAAATATCAAGCAAGCAACAGATGACTGGAATTAGGGCAGTCTGCTTCCTGATAGCGGCCCGCAGAAAGTCAGCAGCTGCTCGGGCTGCTTCCCAGGGAGATGGGTTGTAGAGAGTGGCCTATAGTAATTAATCACGTCTAAAAACAGGCTTGCGGAGCCTCGGTTATGTGAGGAAATGGCGAGACCAAGTCAACTTTAAATATATGATTTTCACCCCTTGCCTGTTTATACAGATGGATGTTTTCCTAGCATCATTCAGGTTCAGGGCCTTTTCCAAAAGTACATGGATTCAAATCTGTAACTTTTTGGTAGCAGATTTAGCACCGTGAGCCGTCTCCTTCCTCCGTGTTTGCTTTTCTTCCCAGAAGTATAGCTGCCAAAAAAAACATTTCTTACAGTCTAATTTTGAGCACGAAGGAATGAGGCCGTTTTGCGACTGCTCTGTCTGATTGTCCAGTTTCTTCATTTTTATCTCAGACAGGCAAGAGGCCCAGCACATAGCTACTAGCACGTAGTATTTTTTCCCAATTATGTAACTTGAGAATAATGTGAATCACCGAAAGGGCGCTGCCTTCGGTGATGAGCGCATTCCACTTAGCGCTGCAGACTCCACACAGCTTTGCCGCGATCGGCAGAGGAGCAGATGGGGTGGCACTGGCGTGTATGATGTCACACGCAGCCAGGTGGCCTTGACTTGATGGTCCTGAGCCACCAGACACGATGTTCTGTTGGCGTTGGCAAAAGACTGATAAACTGTGAAGTATGATGCATTTCCATGCTTCTGCTACAGCGGATATCTGCAGCGATTGCAGATAACCTGCTTTAACAAATAAGTTGTTAAACACAGTCAGTGTAACTACTAGTCACTTGTCAAAAACTTGGAGTTGGGCTGCTGTGCAGTCTACTCATGGCCTGATGCCAGTCTACTCCCGACCAAATGCCAGTCTACTCCCGGCCTGATGCCAGTCTACTCACGGCCTGATGCCAGTCTACTCCCAGCTTAATGCCAGCCTACTTCCAGCCTAATGTCAGTCTGAGAGTTGATTGTTTGTTGTGTAGAAAGAAAAATTGCCTATTGAGAATTTATATATAGAATTAAATTATATTATATTATAATTATATTATATATAGAAAGTATATATATACAGATGAATCTGTAATATAAACAGCGGAGACTGAACCCAGTCAGATTATTTGTGACTGGATTTTTTGCGAGTCCTGCTGTTGAAGGGCAGCCCAGCGCTGCACACAGATCCTGACGGGTTTTGCTAGAGGGCTGTTAGACTGCAGGTTCTGGCTGTAATGGGTAATAATGAGCTGATGCCCCGCAGGCGTGGCTGTGTTTGCGTGGAAGGGTGAGTCCGAAGCAGACTTCTGGTGGTGTATCGACCGCTGCGTGGGCACAGAAGACTGGCAGCCCAATATGGTAGGAGCTCCCTGGCATCGCCTCTGTGCACGTTGCAGATCTAGAACAACTGTATCACGTGGGATGTGGACATGTTTCATCGAGTCTGTGTCCTAAGAGTGGTGCAACTGTGGTGTTATTCACTGTGGTTAGATCCTGGATGATGGAGGAGACCTCACCCACTGGGTGTACAAGAAATACCCAAATGTCTTCAGGAAGATCCGGGGCATTGTGGAGGAGAGTGTCACTGGCGTTCACAGGTAATGAATCATTTAACAGCAAAACAAGTATTTAAAATTGCAACATGACACTGTTTCTAAAGTCTTTCAGCATCGCCTTGTTAAACAGGAATGCATCCTGCCCCCGTGGCCCCTTGTCCAGTACAGGGACAAAGGCAACTCCATTCAGCTGTAAGCAGTATATAATTATGTAGCTTCCTGTTCAAACTCTCATGCTTAAAGCAACTTCCACAGCTTGTGATTTCACATTGAAATAGGTTTGCTTGTTTTTGCTTCCCCAAAATGAGTGGATAATGCTGTCCTCAGCACGCCGTGACTAATGTTCCATGAAGAGTCATGCTGGGTACATGCAGGGGCCGCCACTGACTCACAGTCAGGGGCTTCTGCTTTCCTGCTCTGCCTCACACCCAGAAGACGGAGATCCTGGCTTCGTAGCAGATGGGTCTATATCAAACAGCAGCTTCCATACATAACAGACCTGCAGCGCTGCCTGTTTTTCAATGAAGCATTTCAGAGGACACTTTGCTTGAGGACACAATAGGCTCTGCAGTCTGCTTGGCCCATCATCTCACAGGAGCTGCCACTTGGCATCTTTTCCATCCGCTCTCAGGTTGTACCAGCTGTCCAAGGCCGGGAAGCTGTGCGTTCCTGCCATGAACGTGAACGACTCGGTGACCAAGCAGAAGTTTGACAACCTTTACTGCTGCAGGGAGTCTATTCTGGATGGGTTAGTGGATGATTTGTTCCAAGAAATTCATTTAAAAAATTCTTTTAATCTAAAAATATTGTTTGACATATCCCCCTCCCCCATCACAGATTAAAAAGGACCACTGATGTGATGTTTGGTGGAAAACAGGTGGTAGTTTGCGGTTATGGAGAGGTAAGAAATTATAAAAGGACCTGTATTCCATAAATGGTCTGAAGGGGCTTATGTTCCAGAATAAACCTTTAAGTTATGTCTGGTCAGTTGAAGAAATCTACTTAACCTTGACTTTTAAGATGAAAGTCATAGAGCTGGATTTTGTCCATAATTCTTTCCTGCTGTGTTAGTGTGAGTAGTTACCCACTGTGTGCCGATGCCATGATCCTATGTACTTTTCTTCTTTTATACCTCATGTAACGGTACTGAGTCTGTAACACATACTGAGTCCTCATGGAGTCATGTGACATGCACTGAGTCCTCATTGAGTCATGTGACATGCACTGAGTCCTTACTTAGTCATCTGACGCGTACTGAATCCTCAGAGTCATGTGATGCATACCGAGTCCTCACTGAGTCCTGTGCCGCAGGTGGGGAAGGGCTGCTGTACGGCTCTGAAGGCCTTGGGCGCCATAGTCTGTATCACAGAGATCGACCCTATATGTGCCCTGCAGGCCTGGTGAGGAGAGTGGAAACACTTCAGGCAGCACCTACACCCTCAGAACTGTCCGCCAGCTTCTGTTTCTCCTGGCACAATCCAGACATCTCAGTCACTACAAGAATTTTAATGAATTTTGTAATGCTCCTTATAAACCAGCTGTGTTTCTTAAGGAGAGCATTTTGCCTACCCAGAGGTGGGGGGGGGGGGGGTAATGTTCAGGCAAACTGTAAATCTTGCAGGTTAACATTAATGTAGATCATTATTTTCACTCCAAAACAATGTTGTCAATCCTGCCAATCCATCATCTATCAAAACATTCATATTGTATATTCATATGGTAATTAAAGATGATACATTAAGTTTTTTGTAATTAATGGTTTAAAAAGTGTAGACTAAATTTATCTTCTCTGCAGTACAGTCACTCCTCGTTTAGTGATTACCTCAATTAGCGACCATTTGCAAATACGATGGTAATAAAAAATATATTGTCTGACTAATGCACACATTTTCAAGCAAATTTCATATGGTCAACAACAACACACGTCACAGAGTGAGAGAGATCACTGAAGCAGAATGTAGAAAGTGTTGCTAAAAATTTAAACTTAAGGATAAAACTATGGAAGGCTGCAGTAAAGTCATAAGCGCCGTCACAGTTGGGGTCAGTGAGCTACTGTGACTTTCAGTTAGCGATCATTTTCACACCCTGGTCACTGAAACAGTAACTCGACTGCTAAACAACCAGTGATTGTATATCAGTCATACATGGTCAGTATTAGTTCATTTACACTGAGTGAAGTGTGTAAATGAAAAGCATTTTCATTTGGGAGACCTTTGGCTGTTACAGTCCTAATCCTTATTCCTGCCATGCAGCATGGATGGTTACCGAGTTGTCAAGCTGAACGAGGTCATTCGTCAGGTGGACATGATCATTACTTGCACAGGTAAGCCTGACGGCTCTGCCCTACCACACAAACTGCACGTCTATTTCAACTGTCCTGGTCATGGTGCCCCACTGAACTGTCTTGGTCATGGTGCCCCACTGAACTGTCCTGGTCATGGTGCCCCACTAAACTGTCCTGGTCATGGTGCCCCACTAAACTGTCCTGGTCATGGTGCCCCACTAAACTGTCCACATGTGTGCAGACTGCAGGTGCGACAATGAAAGGTAACTTTTAACTTGGTTTCGCCAACCATTGTGGTCCTTCTTCGAAGCCCTAGTGACTTGATATGTGTGCATTAAGGATTCTCTGGTAGCGTCCTATGTGGTGTCCCTTCATTTGTGCGATAGTCCGTCTCCTGGTTTTCCGCGATCAAGCTGAGGCTCGCCCTGGAAAGACGAGCCGGTGGCAGTGAGGGTGACCTAGGATGGCGTGTGTGTTTCTCCTCCGCAGGGAACAAAAATGTGGTGACCAGGGACCAACTTGACCGCATGAGGAACGGCTGTATTGTGTGCAACATGGGTCACTCCAACACAGAGATTGATGTGGTGAGATACAATCTGACCTTGCAGGTTCACTGTAAAATAATTAGTGCATTTATTAGTACGTCAGTCCATGTTACCCATGTAAAGTGCCGTGTAAGGAATCATCAAGTTGATGCAGTACAGTTTAGAAAATTTACACTTTACTATAGGATTAGTTAGTAAAGGTGTGTTGAAAAGTTTGCATTAAACTTATTTGTGTGTGTGTGGGTTATGTGTATATTACAAACCTATTTTTATGTTGTGGGGACATTTTTCCAGTCCTCACAAGGGGAAACTCAATTTATTAAATTTCTGCAACTGCAGTCAAAAAACTGAAAATGCCAAAAGTCTGTATCTTGTTTGGTTACTTCTGGATTTTGGTTTTCCCCATAAGAGTGAATGTACAGTCCCCACAAAGACATGAGTACAGGTCTGCATGTGTGTGCATATGTGTGTGTGTGTGTGTGCATATGTGTCCATTTGTATGTGTGCAAGAGAGAAAACATAAATGTGCACATTCACTTATCTGCACGTTTTAGTGTGTGTGCTTGTGTGTTTGCATTGTGACTCTCTGATTCCATGCTTGCACATATGATTCAGTTTGCTGACACATTCTGTGGACGTGGCCTCTCTCCCTAGGTCAGCCTGAGGACTCCAGAGCTCACCTGGGAGAGGGTTCGCTCCCAGGTAGACCACGTCATCTGGCCTGATGGCAAGAGGGTGGTCCTGCTGGCAGAGGTACAGACAGATGGTACAGACAGATGGTACAGACACACCCAGCGGTGGGCAGGGCTCTGCTCCTCCGCTAACGCCTAATTAGCCAAACTAACTTTTTCATCAGTGAGTTAGTGGTTTTTGGTTAGCTGTGCCCACCACTGCCTACACCGTTCCCTACCCTCATTCTGACAAGTTTTTTCACATTTGACAGTCCTTCCATTCCTCCCACATGTGTCACACTTCATAATGATATGATTAAGCAAGTTATTTTGTGTTTTGGGTGTAAATTTGAATGGAAGTTCAATGAGAATGGGCATTATCATTCTAGGCATATCAGCCCTTTACCAACATCACTAGAACATAAGAACATAAGAAATTTACAAACGAGAGGGGGCCATTCGGCCCATCAAGCTCGTTTGGGGAGAACTTAACTAATAGCTCAGAGTTGTTAAAATCTTATCTAGCTTTGATTTAAAGGAACCCAGGGTTTTAGCTTCCACTACACTAGCAGGAAGACTATTCCATACTCTAACTACACGCTGTGTAAAGAAGTGCTTTGTCAAATTTAGTTTAAAATGTTCTCCCGCTAATTTCCACCTATGGCCACGAGTTCTAATATTTAAACTGAATACTGCATATTATAACAGTCTGTATTTCTCCCATGCTTTTTGTACCATCTCTCCCTCTAAGCAGCACTGTTCTGTTTGGTTTCTAAGGGCCGGCTTCTGAACCTAAGCTGCTCTACGGTTCCCACATTTGTTCTGTCGATCACCGCGACAACGCAGGTGAGCTCAGTGACCCCCCTGGAAAATGAAGCTTCTGAAATGCTGCAAGATGAGTGCTGATGTGAAATGACTGGCATTTACATGGGTGAGAGTCAAACCTAGTGGGAGCTGTTTCCTGAGTAAATGACAGGGTTCCAGAAATACCACAGCAGGTGTTCTTTGACCTACAGGGCAGCTGCTGCTTCAGCGTCAACAGTCTGCATTGAACTACACTAAACCACCGACCAGACATTGTAAATTGCTGCCCAATGGAACTGCTCCCGACCCCCATATTCCAGAATTAACCACAAGCTGCATCATCACTAAGCACTAATATATGGGCCATATCAAGCTTTAGATTCATTGTCTGCCCATTATGAAATAAGTACAGAGAATTTCTACATGCAGTTCAATATAAGCCAAACAACAATGAAAACAGTTAAACCAGATTTAAAAGTTTGCCCAACCTGAGGTTTATTCCACATGATAAACAACAGCCTGACATACTGTGAACATGAGTACCACGGTGTGTCTGCATGAGAACAGCGCACCACATCAGCAATGGCCATCTGCACAGCAGCGCGCCACATCAGCAATGGCCATCTGCACAACAGCGCACCACATCAACAATGGCCNCAGCGCACCACATCAGCAATGGCCATCTGCACAGCAGCGCGCCACATCAGCAATGGCCATCTGCACAACAGCGCACCACATCAACAATGGCCATCTGCACAGCAGCGCACCACATCAGCAATGGCCATCTGCACAGCAGCGCNATCTGCACAGCAGCGCACCACATCAGCAATGGCCATCTGTACAGTAGTGCACCACATCAGCAATGGCCATCTGCACAGCAGCGCGCCACATCAGCCAATCAGTGGAGTTGCTCAAAGCATCTTTGAACTGACTGATTGACTGATTGATTTATTGATTGATTGATTGATAGACACTGCTCCTTTTGGTACATACTAAAGGGTTTGGCCAAATTTAAAAAACCCATTACCTACAATTCTGTTATCAATAATCCAATACATAAAAATACAACAAATGGAATAAAACATAAAATAAATGTAATAAATGAAAATACATTTACATGTTCAATGGAAACATTTCTGCTATTTTGCAGGCATTGGCCCTGATTGAGCTGTACAATGCACCAGAGGGTCGTTATAAACAGGATGTCTACCTGCTGCCCAAGAAAATGGGTAAGAACTGACAGCTGCAGATCAGCGCTAGGAGAGCCGGGGTTCTCTCTCGGCGTGGGGCCTGCTCCCAAACCGTATGCGGGCTGACTGTGTTCTCCTACAGAATGGGGTTGTGTTCTGTGTGTGAGTTCTCCTGCCCTTTAGGTAGCACACTGGTTACATACTTGGACTCTTGAGAAATTGCTTCAGTAAAAAAAATCTAAAATGTTTCTCAAATGTAGCATACATAATAGTGTATAAAAAACTCACGTTCAACCACACAATTTAAAAATCAGAAAAAAAAAAACTTAGTTTAAGTGTTATATGAAGTTTTGTCATTCAGACACGTCAGTGTCAAACACATTGTCTTCGGTTTACCATTGTTCCTAACTGTGTTGGTGGCAGTAGCTGCAGACACTCGCGGCCACACTTCCCTGGATGTTAACCACACTTTAATAATACAGATTCTGAGCCGAAGCTCTGGGAAGAATACAGAGACCAGGCGAGGAGCTGCAGAAGTGGGGCAGCGTAATACCCAAACAGTATATAAGATCATTCAAAGGGCCGCAAAGAATTGTACTGCGGGCTGGATGCGGCCCATAGGCCTTGAGCGTGACATTTGTGGTGTAGGTGATGAGTTAGTGCCACCTAGTGGTGCCATTCTAATGCCGTGTTCAAGCTATACTGAAGGAGTCTATCTGTTTTAGATGAATATGTTGCCAGCTTACACCTGCCCACCTTCGATGCCCACCTCACTGAACTTTCCGACGAGCAGGCCAAGTACTTGGGACTCAATAAGAATGGACCCTTTAAGCCCAACTACTACAGGTACTGGGCAAGAGCACATACCCTGCAGGCTTACTGTTGACATTCATCTAGGATCACAACCCCATCATAGGCAAAAAGACTGCTATAAATAAACTAACAATTTGCCCGATACACTAACATACTGAACTAACAGCAAAAAGCAACAGACACAAAAAAAAAACAGAGGCACACAGCAGACAACTGAAACGGTAGTGCCCATGATATCCTGATAAAGCCTTCTTTGTGTCTGATTTTCAGATATTAATGTGCTTGGATTCCACCCTCGTGAAAACAAAGCTCGGAACCTCTGGAAGAAGACCACATGTTGTCATGATAGGAGAGAAAGATAATATCATCACAATGATTGTTGAGCTGTTTCACTTTCGCTTTTTTGTAAAATTCAGCAAAGCACCTACCATTAATCTAGGGTACCAAAAACAAGCTGCATGCCCCAAGATACACAGCTGTGTAAATATATCTGTAGAATTACTATGGGGAATTCAAGCATCACACATACACAAAGAAAGTAATCAAGAATGATCTCTTTTTAACAATTTCACATTTTTTATCCCAGTTATAATTTCTTTAAATATTTTAAATGCATTGTAAGATGAAGTTTAATATCAGTGTGAAATGGTGTCAAATGAGGATTAGAGTTGCAGGGAGGAAATGACTAGGCTAACCCTGTATTCCAGTTAGTGCAGATTTTGTTCAAACCATATTTCTGGCGTGCCTTTTTATCTTTTTGTCCTTGTACTGCATTTTAAGCCACTGAATGAAAGCCATTGAAAATGAGCCTCATTATAATGGCCAGCTGTCTTCTGTCCTTATCTGCCATGAACCAATTTTTAAATCGTGTAATAAGATCTCATTGTAGGTCACTTGCCAATAAAGGTTTACAAATCGCAGACTTTTCTCAAGAACAAGGATGGACATGTTGCCTTTCTCATTTTTCATTTGTAAGTTGTAGATTCCCAGCACCAAACTGGCATTCCTTGACTGAGGGAAGGAGTAATTAGTGAAGGAATCTTCACTACAAACTGTCTTCTGCTGGATGTTTTCTAAGGCAGTGTTTCCCAACCCAGTCCTCGAGGAACCCCGGACAGTCCACGTTTTTGCTCCCTCCTAGCTCTCAGCCAATCAGGAACACCGAATACCTGGTACAGGTACTGGGAGCTGAGAGGGAGCAAAAACGTGGACTGTCCAGGGTTCCTCGAGGACTGTGTTGGGAAACACTGTTCTAAAGGTAGTCCAGATGATGTCACTACATTTGCAAATTATGCTTTCATTTCCAGATGTTATTTTTATTGATCATTTTAATTTGATCATGCAATTAGTGCAATTTATCTAGGCATATTGTGTGTGTGTGTGTTCTCCATTTAGTTCTTACTGACATAAAGTGAACTGTTTCCTACTGTCTTACAAACAAGTAAAGCTATCTGAGTCCTTGTCAGCCTACAAAAACGTGACACATGCAGAGAGCACATGGATGACACATTTTTACATGTATTTTGTTCTTAACAATATAAATATCATCTACAGTTTATAAAATTTTGTTTGCACATCAAGTTCATGGAATTTGCAGGAAGTTGAACTTTAAGCTGGTATCCATATATATATATGTGACCATTAGATGATACTACAGAAGAATTCTTCATCCAGGGGACATCAGGCTTAATATTTGTTTGTTGATTTGAACCGTGATACTGACTGATTAATATATTATTTGCTAGCTGTAATACTGGATCCCACACTTTAAATATCATAGGAAATCCATGATTAATGTTATAGCTGTACTCACTAACGTGAGTGAACTTCAGTAAGTAAATGGTTAACAAAATATCAGCATATTACTACACACAAAAATTTAAAACCATCAAAACATGTTTTATCTATATGTTTTTCAAAATGCATCCCTTTTGTCCCCATTAATTAATACAGTACAAAGCAGGCTGTTTCACTCATTTCATTAATCAACATTACAGTTATCTTACTGAAGAGGAACTTTTCCCTAATTTTGCAATACGATCTATAGCACTTGCATTGTAATTCAGTAACTGTAAAAAGCTGATGGCTTCTTGTTTGATAAAATTAGACTGTCGATTGTTATATTTTATATTTAGTTTTAACTATTTGAAAATTAAAAATTCCACCAAAATTTTCTTAGCGCCTTGAAGCTCCTACTAAGGAACATGCAGTGACAAATCCCCACACACCAGGTCTGCCTCAGGAGCAGAAGAGGGATTTACAGCCTGGGGACCGCATGGGTCATGGCCCATACCCCTTTCGAGGGATTCCTGCTATTGTGCTTCTCAAAAAAGTACGTAATTTGGATTGGTTCCATCCAAAAATAGTCAAGCTATATAACAGGGTAGACAGCCATAAAAACTGCAATTTGTTTTAGAAATTTTATAATTAAAAATGAACTTTATTTTGACATGCAGTTAACATGCAGTTAAGATATAAGTGCCAGAGACTGCACAAATGGAAGAAGGACCCTTTTGTGAAAACCAGTTATCACTGTGATGTAAAGCATAGACAGCCTTCTGTCTTTGCTTCATTTTTTATCTTAAATTTGGAATGCAAATTGATAGAATATACTTTGTGTACCAATAGCTTAGATGAATTTTGTTCACTCTAAAATATAATTTTACGTATTAGTCTTTTCAAAGCTTTGAAGAAAGACAAAGATTTGCCTAATAAATACTATGTGTGACCCAGACTGGTATTTTGTCATATTTATTTATTTGTGTGATATATACGATTTGTAACGTAAGTAACCAAACACGGACCCATTGTTTATCCCTGCATTCACCATCACACCAATTGTGCAGGGTAAAATTAATCATGTCCATATTTGTGTTTAAATATGTTAATTATTAAATTCTTGACACTGCCACCAGGTGGTGTTGGGGTAAGAACAAATAATTTAACAGAACGAAAGTACTGGCGATTAATACAACAGATAAAAGAATATGCATACACGAGCGATTTCATTTCCATTACTACAGTGTTACCATACAACTTACTATCCTCGCTTAATACCGTAAAGATAATCTCCAGTCCTGCTGTCACCGCGGGAATATTTTTATTTTTTTCCCCATTTCCGTATCGGTGTTACTGCTTTTCTCATTCCCGTGTAGCCTTCTAGACAACATTACACGCAATTACACCACTGATTGTCATCAACGTTGACTAGGCACTGCAGTGACGTTCTATGCTTGTTTGAGACTATGGTACAATACGAATTATTATATGAAATGTATAATGTAAGATGCGGTTCATCTTTTTTTTATAGGACCGACCACGTATAACACGTATTTAACTTTAGCGAGAAAAAGTCACCTGAAGGCCCCCAGCTCTTCCAGCATGTCCGGGAAAAGACAGGAAGGATCATTGATCATTGGACATCATTGGATTTGTTATGATGTATAAATATCTTAGATAGTAGTTACTCTCCTCTAAATATAATTTTAATCATGCAACAAATCAATGGATGTTTAATATACTTGCGTTTCTACATAACACTTAAAGACACTTCGGGCATGTAAATGGAGAAAGAAACTAAAGTTATACCGAATCTCATACACAGAATATCAAGGTTACCAACTTTGGTCAGCCTGCTAGAGTGAGATGGTCAATTCGTCAGCACACCCAGACACACGCATTTATATGTATGTAACAGTTGTATTACCTTTTAAATAGTCTGTAGGGTTTGCTATCTACACCAAAGCTTTTGGTGTCGCTGACTTTAGGTCTATACTAGTGTAAAATACACTTGCCGTAAGATTTCTTTGCGTCAGCGGGAGAGTCTGAAAGCGCGTCACACCAGATTCATGAGAGATGGAAACCTGGCATATTTAAATTTACGTCGCCGCAACACCCAGATCAAATATAATGCTAAGTTAAAATATGTTCCTGACCGGTAACATACACACATGATTTGGAACAGTCACCAGGCTGTCTCTGGTCCCGCCCCCTTCACCGGGTCCCGCCCCTCGCTGTTCCAGCATTTTCGCGAAAATGCTCGTCGAGTCGGGAAACTTCGACGCGTTTCGTACCGCTGGTATGAGTCCGGCTGCTTCGCGATGAGCCGCGACAGTTCGAGAAGAGCGGCAGTCAGGTATATAAGAGTGGGAGCCGGCTGGCCTCCCCATGCAGACCGAGAGACACGGACCGGAGGGAAGGCGAGTGTGCGCACAAATAACCGTGAGAGAAGGCGGCAAATAACCACTGTAAGTATGATGACAGCGATTTTCGGAATATTTGGCAGGCTGTAAGCATTTCCATTGCGAATAATAGACGCGTTTCAAAGTGCCAAATGTAGAATAGCGTTATGAAAACAAATGTTAAAACATATATATATGTCAGAACTTTCACTGAAGGCAGCAGAGCATTCAAAGTTACTGCTAACTTTTCGTGAATATTCACTGCGCTTCCTATGTATTTTTATTGCATTATCTTTGCAGTGGCTTGTCATTGTGCGTGCTAATCATAAATAGTTCATAAGTACTTTGTGGAAAATTTATAATTAGAGTATGTATTCTACGTACTGTTTTAAAATGAAAATAACGAAATCGTGTTCTTGCCGCTTTTCTAACTGTATGCGTGATTTAATGTTATCTGACAGGTGAACGATAAAGTCTTACAGTAAAAATCATCGCATAAAAACATATTTATGTAATTTTTATCTATTAATAATTGCTTATTTTGAAGACACAATGATATCAGAAAATAGTTTGATCATAAACGTATTTTTAATTTTGAGTTGATGGTTAAGTGTAACGTGTCATTTACAATATCATTTTATTTTTGTGTTTCAAGCAAAACTTAATTTTTCCCAAACATTACTCAGTTGTTTCATTTTGCTATAGGANCCCCATGCAGACCGAGAGACACGGACCGGAGGGAAGGCGAGTGTGCGCACAAATAACCGTGAGAGAAGGCGGCAAATAACCACTGTAAGTATGATGACAGCGATTTTCGGAATATTTGGCAGGCTGTAAGCATTTCCATTGCGAATAATAGACGCGTTTCAAAGTGCCAAATGTAGAATAGCGTTATGAAATCAAATCTTAAAACATATTTATGTCAGAACTTTCACTGAAGGCAACAGAGCATTATATAAGTTACTGCTAACTTTTCGTGAATATTCACTGCGCTTCCTATGTATTTTTATTGCATTATCTTTGCAGTAGCTTGTCATTGTCCGTGCGAATCATAAATATAGCTCACAAGTACTTTATGGAAAATTAATAATTAGAGTATATATTCTACTGTTTTAAAATAAAATAACGAAATCGTGTTCTTGCCACTTTTCTGACTGTATGCGTGATTTAATGTTATCTGACAGGTGAACGATTAAGTCTTACAGTAAAAATCATCACATAAAAACATGTTTCTGTAATTTTTATTTATTAATAATTGCTTATTTTGAAGACACACAATAATATCAGAAAATAGTTTGATCATAAACATATTTCTAATTTTGAGTTTATGGTTTAAGTGTAACGTGTCATTTACAATATCGTGGATTAATCTTACTTCAGGAACCCCAACTAACATGGTTAATTGTTTTGTTTTATTTTTGTGTTTCAAGCAAAACTTAATTTTTCCCAAACATTACTCAGTTGTTTCATTTTGCTATAGGAGACTTAAGATGTCTTCAGCCAAAGGATTATCAATCGGCATCGACCTGGGCACCACCTACTCCTGCGTGGGAGTGTTTCAGCATGGAAAAGTGGAAATCATTGCCAACGACCAGGGTAACAGAACCACTCCCAGCTATGTGGCCTTCACAGACACCGAACGGCTCATCGGAGACGCTGCCAAGAACCAGGTGGCCATGAACCCCAATAATACCATCTTTGATGCCAAGCGGCTGATCGGCAGAAGGTTTGACGATCCTGTAGTGCAGTCCGACATGAAGCACTGGCCCTTCAAAGTGATCAGCGATGGAGGAAAGTCCAAAGTTGAGGTTGAGTACAAAGGAGAGACCAAGGCATTCTACCCAGAAGAAATCTCCTCCATGGTCCTGGTGAAAATGAAGGAGATTGCAGAAGCTTACCTGGGGCAGAAAGTGTCAAATGCTGTCATCACTGTCCCCGCCTACTTCAATGACTCCCAGCGCCAAGCCACCAAGGATGCAGGAGTGATTGCTGGGCTGAACGTGTTGAGGATCATCAACGAGCCCACAGCGGCTGCCATCGCCTACGGCCTAGATAAAGGCAAGAAGGGGGAGCACAATGTCCTGATCTTTGACCTGGGTGGGGGCACCTTTGACGTGTCCATCCTGACCATCGAGGATGGCATCTTTGAGGTGAAGGCCACAGCGGGAGACACCCATCTGGGTGGTGAGGACTTTGACAATCGCATGGTCAATCACTTTGTGGAGGAGTTCAAGAGGAAATACAAGAAGGATATCAGTCAGAACAAAAGGGCACTGAGGAGGCTGCGCACAGCATGTGAGAGGGCCAAGAGAACCTTGTCCTCCAGCTCCCAGGCCAGTATTGAGATTGATTCTCTGTTTGAAGGCATTGACTTCTACACATCAATCACCAGGGCACGCTTCGAGGAAATGAATTCTGACCTCTTCAGAGGAACACTGGAACCTGTGGAAAAAGCCCTGAGAGATGCCAAACTGGACAAGTCGCACATCCATGACATAGTGTTGGTGGGAGGCTCCACTCGAATTCCCAAGATCCAGAAACTGCTGCAAGATTTCTTCAACGGCAGAGAGCTGAACAAGAGCATCAATCCAGACGAGGCAGTGGCCTACGGTGCAGCTGTTCAGGCAGCCATCCTAATGGGTGATACCTCTGAGAATGTTCAAGACTTACTTCTGCTGGATGTGGCTCCATTGTCTCTGGGCATCGAGACGGCAGGAGGAGTCATGACTGCTCTTATCAAACGTAACACTACCATTCCCAGCAAACAGACGCAGACTTTCACCACCTATGCTGACAACCAGCCAGGGGTCTTGATCCAGGTGTATGAGGGAGAACGAGCCATGACTAAGGACAACAACCTGCTGGGCAAGTTTGATCTCACTGGCATCCCTCCGGCCCCACGGGGGGTCCCCCAGATCGAGGTGACCTTCGACATTGATGCCAATGGCATTCTGAATGTGTCAGCAGTTGACAAGAGCACTGGAAAGGAGAACAAGATCACCATCACCAATGACAAGGGTCGTCTGAGCAAGGAGGATATAGAGCAGATGGTGCAAGAGGCAGAGAGGTACAAAGCTGCGGACGACCTTCAGAGAGAGAAAATCGCTGCCAAGAACTCTCTGGAATCATACGCCTTCAACATGAAGAGCAGTGTGGAAGATGAGAACCTGAAAGGCAAGATTAGTGAGGATGACAAGAAAAAGGTCATTGACATGTGCAGGGAGGCCATCACTTGGCTGGAGAACAATCAGCTGGCTGAGAAGGAGGAATATGAACATCAGCTGAAGGAGCTGGAGAAAGTGTGCAGCCCCATTGTCACCAAGCTGTACCAGGGAGGGACACCAGCTGGGGGCTGTGGCAGTCAGGCTCGGTCAACTTCCGCGTCCAACTCTCAGGGCCCAACCATTGAAGAGGTGGATTAAACATGGCGATGTCTTACCTATGGACTTATAAAATATTACCCCTTTAGTAAGATGACTGTGTCTAAAGCAATATTGTGTTCAGTTAATTATTCTTACATTTTGAATATTTTATACACATAACCAACATTCCCACACTGGTGATGTTTACAGTTGTATTTCTGCAATTAATTGTGTTCGCTGTAGTGGTACCAAATGTATGTCTCAGTGGGTGTGAAGCAGTAAACTTGCCTCCTGTTTTACTTTCAGTCATTCATTGTTGGACTTTAAATAATGTAAATAAAGTATTTAACCTTTAAAATGAGTGTCGACTCATCCTTTCCTCTAGCTTTTCATGTGTTTCTGCAATATTCTTGATTAAGAACGTTTTCATACTGAATCCCATTCTGTTCATTTCAAAGGTCCGTGATTTTCCACACATTTCTAGATTCCATTTTACACAGGGAGTTATTCTCCTGTTAGGTTTAGTCTATATCTGCTTTGCAATAGCTTCAGCCTAAACAAATGTGGCAGATGATCATTCTACATCTAGTTTAGCCAGAGCAAACACAGATCAACAGTATCTTTGGAAATACCTTCTAAATGATCATTTACTATATGATCAGCTTCTTTCCTGAATATGTATAGTCTAATGTAGTTGTGGGATTTTCCAAATTATAATTATCTACAGTTTCATATTCAAACTAGTGTGCTTTTTAAGCTTTAGAAAAGAATCAGTTTCCTGACCCTCTAAACAGTCCAATCACAAATCAAGAATGCAGAGTCTCTTATACTTTCAGATTTATTGGTTTTTATTTTATTTTTCACTACAATTTGCGACAAAATCTATATAAATGTTTGTTATGATCAGAGTGTATTTCGGCTTGAATATGTGATCCAGTAACTAATTTAAATATTTTTCAGTAAAGCACCACATGGTGGCGCTGTGGCTGGCACTGTTGTCTCACACCACTGGAATGCAGGGCTGGAGTCTCCCCCCATTGGCTCTGTCTGAGTATAATTTACATATTCTCCCTGTGGGGGTTTTCTGGGTTCTCTGGTTTCCCCCCATAGTCCCAAAAACTTGCTGAAGTGAAATGGAATTGCCAAATAGTCCATACGTGTGTAACGTACGTGAAATTGTGTGAATGCCCTGCAATGATCTGGCGCCCCATCCTGGGTAATTCTCTGCACCTCTAGCTTCTGGACCCCTGCCACCCTGCATAGGATAATCCAGCATGGAACATTCATTAATATTTGACTGTGATTCACTGGAGGTTCTTAACACTGCTGCCCAGTGACACAAAAATGATTCCTAAAAATGCTCCTTACACTGCCTAACATTGTTCCAGCTTTCGTCAGTGCTTCCCCATTCTTGAGCAAGGTTCCACCTCCCTGTCCTGTGGTAGCGAATGATTTTCTAAAACATTGTAGCTGCTGGATAACCTCTTTCCATGCTCTCTCCAAACATGTTCCACCACAGAGATTGGGCTGAAGCACCTTCAGGGTGATCTCAGACAAAACAAAAGTGGAGCAGAAGCTGAATTTTTCCTGAGAAAGTCAGTGTGCACATTTTCTTAAACAAACACTGTTGATAAATTTATTTTGAGTGGGCAAAATAATACACAAACCTCAGAAAATTACTTGTTTCTGCAAAAAAGTAGTAATAAAACAACTTGCAACATTTCACACCTTTTCATGTGGCTGTTTTGCACCAAATTATGGAGAGCAGTATGAATAAGAGTACTGATAAGTATTAGTCTCAATAGTAAAATCCTAATGATAGCCACTAAGAGGACTCCCCATGAAAACACAGGGAGACCCAGGGAGGAGACTGGAACCCGGGTTCCAGAGGTGTGAGGCAACACCACTACGCCACCATGTGGCCCACACTGCTACTGACCTCCCCCAATTAAATCTTACTGAAAGGAGGAAGAATGGCATTGAGAATGAAGAAATCTCTTAGTCAAGAATCTCGCTCAAGCGCACAAAAAGCTAGGGGAGAGGATAAATTGACACCAATTTTAAAGTTTAAATACTTTATTCACATTATTACAAGTCCAGCAATGAACTAAAACTAAAACATTCAGTTGGTCACTTTTTTACTTCCCACCCATCTAAAAGTACATTTGGCACCATTACAGTGAACACAAGTTAATGCTGTAATACATTTCATGGTATCTTCCATGTGGGACTGAAATAAAAAAAAAACATTCAAATTAGGTCTCTTTTTTTTAATATTAAGATTTTTTGTGAAAATATTTTACAAGTCCATAGGTAAGACATCGCCATGTTTAATCCACCTCTTCGATGGTTGGGCCCTGAGAGTTGGACGCGGAAGTTGACCGAGCCTGACTGCCACAGCCCCCAGCTGGTGTCCCTCCCTGGTACAGCTTGGTGACAATGGGGCTGCACACTTTCTCCAGCTCCTTCAGCTGATGTTCATATTCCTCCTTCTCAGCCAGCTGATTGTTCTCCAGCCAAGTGATGGCCTCCCTGCACTTGTCAATGACCTTTTTCTTGTCATCCTCACTAATCTTGCCTTTCAGGTTCTCATCTTCCACACTGCTCTTCATGTTGAAGGCGTATGATTCCAGA